AACACTGGGCTTCCATGGTCAAAAATAAGAACAGAAGACAGCCATTTTGTTCACAAATACAAACAATGAGGATGAAAAAACTTACACTGGAAAAATGATAAACTGATAAATAAAACTGACTCAACTAAAACGTGGTAATGAACAAGAAGCTGATCACTGCAAAGAAAAATGGGTGGAGTTTACATTTGCTCATCCTCACTAGAGCTCCAACCAGGAACAAACGTAATTTGGACCTAATGGGTGGAGAAATGATATCAAACCACACATTAAACCCACCCACAACTATAACCCCACCCCCTTGGAGCTCCAGAGAGGAGCTTGTCATCATTTGACTCTGCAGTGAGTTTCACATGTAATGAACAGCAGTTTGGGGGTGGGGTGGGGGGAGGGGGTACAACATGATAAATTAACTTATCCAACAGTTTTATCTTTGAGGAGTTATTTAGCCATCTAAAAAAAACTGCATAAGCATAAACACTAGGGCACTTCTGTTCGCTTCAAAGTCCTTGGTACTTACGGCCTTTTCTGTCCATCAACAGCAAAGAGGAAAAGGGCTAAAATGAGCCCTCTCCAAACACAAATCTCCCTCACAGCCATGAAGAGCAATCATCCAAGACTAGACAGAAATCAAGAGTCTCTTTCACAAACCCTGCACCACTTCCGTTAAGATCCACACTGTTCTACAGCTTAACTCTAAATCAGTTGCACTGATGCCAGTGCTATTTAAACTCTCTTAGTAATTCAGAACAGGTATCTGGACATTATTAGGGCGGAGCCCCGGTAATTAATCACAGGGACGCCAACTCTGAAACACAAGCTTACTCTGTCCAATAAAATCTCATGCCAAATATGAAACTAAATCCCAAAGATATGAGAGGTGGATTGTATAACGGATTGCCTACCGAAGGAGACAGAAGTCGTGTACTTTTACATGAGAGGAAGGTAGCCAGCCTACGGTGTCCTGAAATAATCAGTGTCTGAGATTTTCGGTGACCTGGAGTTTGGGAATGTTTCCTGATGATATGAAAAAAAAAATAACACTTCACTTTATGATTTAATAAATAATATTCTATATTATGGAAAAAAGAGAGATATAGGCATATTTGCAACTGATTATTTGGGTTCTATAAGTGCTTTAATCACTTATACCAAAGTCCTTTCAGGCAAGTCATGCCACTCGGCCGCCATGTTGGCAACGCCTCCGGGCAGCTATTTCGGACTTAACAAGACCAGGCTCCTATCTAAATGAATGGGCAGAGAGTCAGAACTGCACTTTCACTGGTCACAGAGACAAAAACTGCATGTATAGAAACAGTAAAATAGAATAAAAATCGCTGAAAAAGTTTGATGACTGCACTAAAATAAGGTTTAAAACGCTGTTTTCCCACAGGTCATACTTTTACTGCGCATGCGCAAGGTTTCTCTCGCTCTCTGTCGAGCGCGCTGCACAGTTTGAAATGCGCGCTCTTGCTCGCTCGCTCTAGATTCCGGAAGATTTGACCTAATTTGCAGGCATAAGCGAGCCTCTATCAATCTGCGGGAGACACTCGGAACTTCTGGGAGACTTGGGATGTCTGATATTTACACAATACACACATACACTGCAAATCTAATCTGCCGCCTTTTCAAACAGTTACGTATTTAAATGTTTTCCGGCTTGACCATTAAAAGCAGACGACTGGCTGTCCAGTGGGAGGGGCGGGGCATTTGCATACAACCGCCATCTTTGGTGTTATGGGTTTTCCCTATACATTTGTATTAAGGATTGAGGAAGTGCCATGTCTCTATATAAATAGTCTCTGCTTATACTGTTTGGGTCTAGTCCACCATGAAATTTTGCAATCACAATGTGACATGATTGCAATTGCATGACTGGTTTGGTTCAGTTGGACCTTAGTAGACAACAGACATTCTGAGAGAATTATTAGTACTCCTCTTTCCACTCTCCAACAAGGCGAGAGAGACACTCGAGGGAGCTGGTCCGGGTTCCAGCAGTCTCTGAGCACGGCGCTTCTTTTTGTGCAGTCCAACAGATGGCTGAGTGATAGCTTCAGCGCTGAAGTGGACAGTTCTTCACAGTAGACGCGTCCTCCCAACAAAACTGCGATGGCCGCGTGATCCGGGCCTAGGCAGAGGGAACCGCTTATAGTTGTTAAAATGTATGTGTTCTATATAGATTATGTTTTGCGCGTCCGAATCGGAGAAAAAAATGGACGCTACACACAATGGAATGCTCGAAGTGTGGACGTGACGTCATATCCGAGGTCCGAGTCGGTTCGTTGGCTATAATAGAACGCACCACAAGACACACACACACACATACAGTTTAGCAAAGGAACGAGAGCTAAAGCAGAACACAGAAAAACTAAGTTCTGGCATTGTTTGAAATTCTGCAGATAAACAGCCTTGAGTAAACCATCAGTTTTTAGTTCTAACACTTTAAAAGGGGTAAGGACACTTCATGTATCAAATGATGAGACCAAGTTTGATATTTGCATGTCTCTGTCCTGATGCAATTTGTCGAGGCTCCAGTTGGTCTTTGCTGATGTAAACAGAGGCCAGTTTCTATCTGTGTTTTAGCCATTTGTGCAATGATAATTGCAGTTTTCAGGGGATGGCTCACATACATTTACTGTGAGAGTTGGGCTCTTTATTGTTGGATTATTTGTTAAAGATGAATAATTTGTGTCGGATTGGTGATTTTACTACATGATTTTAAAGGGTTAGTTCACCCAAAAATGAAAATTAAGTCATTAATTACTCACCCCCATGCTGTACCAACCCCGTAAGACCTTCGTTCGTCTTCGGAACACAAATGAAGGTATTTTTGATTAAATTTGAGAGCTGTATAACTACCACGTTGGCTGCCTAAGGGACTGCCTCTTGACGGCCCAGAAAGTCAATGAAGAAAATGTTTAAATATCCCAAGTGACTACCGTGGCTCAACTATATGTTTATCAAGCGACGCGAATACTTTTTGTGCGAAAAAACAAACAAAAATAACGAGTTTATTCGACTATTTCTTTTCTTCCTTGTAGGCCAGAAACGAGATTTCCTTAGATTTCCACGACGCATGCGCGAGAATTGCTATCTGCTTACACTACTTCAGATCGCAATTCTCGCGCATGCGTCGTGGAAATCTAAGGAAATCTCGTTTCTGGCCTACAAGAAAGAAAAGAAATAGTCGAATAAACTCGTTATTTTTGTTTGTTTTTTCGCACAAAAAGTATTCGCGTCGCTTGATAAACATATAGTTGAGCCACGGTAGTCACTTGGGATATTTAAACATTTTCTTCATTGACTTTCTGGGCCGTCAAGAGGCAGTCCCTTAGGAGCCAATGTGGTAGTTATCCAGCTCTCAAATTTAATCAAAAATATCTTCATTTGTGTTCCGAAGACGAACGAAGGTCTTACGGGGTTGGTACAGCATGGGGGTGAGTAATTAATGACTTAATTTTCATTTTTGGGTGAACTAACCCTTTAAGCCCGATTTGCAAATCGTTGAGCTCACCGACAGGTCAGGGTGTTATCGCTGGTGAATCGCGGGCGATGAACGCTCGCCAATCTGTTAGTATGAAAGAGCCAACAACGCATCAAAGACGCGTCGCCGAGCCCAGAAAAATATCTAGCATGCTAGATATCTAGAGCTGTCGCACGACTCAACCTGAGTGATGTCATTAGCTACAGCCAATCAGAGAAAGGCATGGGTTGAGGTCACCGGGTAAATCTTATTTATTCTTTTTTTTTTCTCAGAGCAAATCATCGCACAAAGTCTTCTTCGCTGGGTATTGACGCACGTGCTGTTTCGCGTCATTTTTGGTTCGTTATTTTTCGTGACAAAACGTGGCTTGTAGACAAGATAAAATCGTTGGGTGTCAGTTGTTCTCAACTCAGGTAGTGCGTTCCCTCCTGTTGCGGATCAATCACGTTGTGTCTTGTGGTGTAAACAGCTCAACATCTTGAACACTCCTGATTTCACAGAGAGCAAGTCATGTAGTGTGAACCGCACAGTTCAGCCCGACTTTTTAAAATAATGTAGTGTGAACTAGGCTTAAGAGCATGTTATGTTTTATAGAGGTGAACTTAACACTAAGATCAACTGGTATTGAGATCCAGCCTTGGTCAGAAACTAGAAGTCAGTCATATGGATTTTAATGAGCAATTACTGTAAAAGTCATCAGAGTAACTTTCTGTGCAATGATGAAGCCTGAATCCAGAATTAAATTCATACAAACTACAAAAAAGGGCACCATTTAGCAGAAATGACTTTAGTATTTTAGGAATACATGGAATGGGTCTGTAATTTGCTTATTCATTTGGATCTAATAGTGGTTTCTTAATGAGGTGCGTATAACTGCCAGCTTGTAGTCTTGGGACATGACTGGGAGATAAAGATATTAAAAAAGAGGCTCTTCTGCTACAGGTAATAACTATTTTAGTAGTTGGTGGGTATTAGATCTAGTAAATATTCCAGTTTAGCATGTAATCAGTTTCAGCTCTTCCTGTCCTATTACAGTAAAGCACAGCAATAGTTCTTGAGGGGTGAAAACTGAGGCTGAATCAATACCATCAGAAGTTGTACATTTACAATATTTCTGATGCTCTCAATTTTCTCAGTGAAGAAACCCTCAAAGTCTTCACTGCTAAACCGATTCCCGAAATACAGTTCGGGAGACATTGGTTGGAGTATTAAATCGCATCACAAACTTCACCGTCAGCCCTGGATGTTTCCAACACTTTTTTTTTTTAAATTAAATTGTAAACAGACTGGCTACACTTGATATTAGTCTATAACTTAAGACCTACATAGATGCACACAAAAATAACTTATTACCCTGGTTGGAAAAGTAAAGTTTCTTAAATCTGCTAAGTGATTAATGAAGGGTCACCTACAAGCAAAGCACATGTCAATGGTCACCCACACACACAACATGGCTCATTCAGACAGTGCCTGTTCTAAAGGATTTGAAGCCACAGGAAAAAACAAAAAGCAACTAAAGGACTGATTGTATAAAAGTGGTTTTATTTAAGTCACGTATCCTAAAACCAGTACTGAACCAGATCATGGACAGGGAGAGGTGTAGGTAGTCTCAAACGAATCACCTGAAAGAGGAACAGAAAATGGCTGAATTTACAGTTTAAATAATCCAGTTCAGAGCAAAGCATGGTTAGGATGAAAGCATACTTGTCTGATAGTAGTCATAAACCTTTATGACTGCTGGCTTGAGATTGTCCACTGCAAGAACCTGATTCAGCTGCAGAGTGTAACTCATGGGGACGCCTTTGGGAACCTGCGAGACAAAGGATGAACAGCAGCGTATGAGAAAATGGCAGCTAGTAATATACCAAGTGTACAGTCTCACCTCTTTCAGATATACTTGGACATGATCATCTTCGGCATCGACCCGCTCCACTAACGGGGCAAACGATTGGGGTGAAGAACCGAGCTGAGGGGACGAGACCATTTAGAAACACAATTACATCTTGGGACTTTCTAAATCACTTTAAACATACGAACCAGTGACGTATCTGCCGTAAAGCCTGACAGGAGCTTAATGTCCACTAGAACCATGTTAGAGCTTGCTTTTTCACCATCGTATCTGAATGAGGTAATGGGGGAATAAAGAAGTTTACTCAGCATGATTAACACAGTCCACCAACTCGCTCAAGTTTAAGACTATTACAGAAGGAAGCCAAGCCAAAGCTGTTCTTACTTCACCGTGAAGTCCAACATGAGATTGGCTCCAAGCGGTTGGCAGTCTCGAGTCACCCGAGTTTCGATGGTCAACGTTTTGGGGGCTTTAACGGGTGTTGGGATGTTGTAGAAACACGCAACCTACAGTTTGAACGCAGATCAACCAAGTACAGTTAGATTTGGATGTACACAACAGAATCATAGGGTGAAGATACAGACCTGCACAGACACACAAGTGGATCCTGACACTTCAACACTATATTTGCCAGGAACGTTCTTCAGCGGCTTCTCCTGATACAGCAGCCTGTTGTCCCGGTTCACATTGAAGCTGTGAGAGTCTCCTCCTACTTCTGAGGACTGTACGGTAACAGAGCTGGAGCCGTTCAAGCTGAACACTTGAGCAGCGTACACAGACAGAGCCTGAAGAGCCACCACTGTGTCCTAAAAACACACAAGATTAAAAACTCCTCAATTTATTGTGCTCATGTTTGGTAGTCATAGGCACCTGGGTGGAGGAGAAGCCTCCATAGGGATTCTGCTGGGTCACGAGCCAGTTGACAATGCGGTTAGCATAGCCCAGATCAGCCGTTGTGAGAGGCTGAACAGCGAGAACTGCTAGCAGCACGTAAGAGCTGATCTCCACCGCCAGAGTATCACCAGATGTCGTCTGAGACCAATGGAGCTTAGTACCTTAGATAAAGATGGAGAGAAAGTTGATGCTAAAGACCCTGATGAACATCTCAAACAAGCAGCTGGTAAATCTTACCTTCAGAAATAGCAAGGCTGTCTAAAGCAGTTAGAAGCTGTGATCGAGTGGTGGTCTCTCCAGCCAGACTGAAGGTGTAGGTCAGCAGAGCTGTGGCATAAGTGTTTCCCAGGTTCCCAATGACAGGCCTCAAGCATGACAGACCGTTGGTAATTACAGGATCCTGAAAAAAAAAAGATACACAAAAGCCTGAACAGGAAGGTCGTCTGCAAGGAGCTCATACAACTACTAGATCTGTTTTACCGTGGCAGGGACACCTAGTTCAAGCAGCGATGCAACAATGTAGGCAGTCATGGTCACACCATCACCAACTCCACCCTAAAAACACACAGATTAAATGGATTAAACACAGTCTATGGGTTACAGTTAATTTGATAACACTTATACCTTCATTTCATTGTGGTACAGAGTGCCCTGTTGCGTGAAACAGCCGTCTGAAACCTGTTGGCTAATTATCCAGTCCTTTGCACTCTGAAGGACATTCGGATCAATGAAGACAAAGCGCGTCGCTAGACCAAAAGTCCTCATGACAAAGGCAGTCAACCTGGCCATGGATAATGTTAAAAACAACTTAAACCACTGTGGACACAAAGGTTACACAAGATTAGAACAATGTGAAACTCACCATGTATTGGATGCATCATAACCAAATGTGCTGTATGATCCGTCAGTGTGTCTGTAGTTTAGCTGTCCTTGGTATCCTATTCAAGTCAAAAGACACATTATTAGGGAGTCTTGACAGTCAGCACAGGACTGAAAGTCCTTAGATCAGGGGTCTCAAACTCAAATTAACTGGGGGCCGCTGGAGATAGAGTCTAGGTCAGGCCGGGCCGCATCAAGTATTAAAAAAAAAATTGTATTTAAGTATTCCAAAAATGGAGCACAACTGATCCAATCTTCTCAATCTTTATTATTAACGTTTCTTCTGAACTGTTCCTCTGAATTTGAACATTCCTTTCTGAACATGATTGGTTCTTCATGAGCTGTCCTTCTGACAGTTGAAGTTAATTTTACAAACTTTCTTTGTCTTTTTCTTATACACAACATATTTGTGTATAGTTTGGATAGTCATATTTGCTTTTTATTTTCTTTATACAACACTAATATTGAATGTTTTATTTTCTTTTTTCAGAAGGCACATTTCCTTTTCTTACACTCTAAAAAATGCTGGGTTGTTTTAACCCAACTTTGGGTCAAATATGGACTAACCCAGCCGTTGGGTTAAATTTTTACATTACATTTTTAACCCAACATTTCGGGTTTGTCCATATTTGACCCAACATTGGGTTAAAACGACCCAGCATTTTTTAGAGTGTAATAAAAAAAAGTAAAAAAAGAAAAACAGTTATTGCTTTTGAAATACAAATAATTCTTTCTACACACACTCTAAAAAATGCTGGGTTGTTTTAACCCAATTTTGGGTCAAATATGGACAAACCTGAAATGTTGGGTTAAAAATGTAATGTAAAAATTTAACCCAACGGCTGGGTTAGTCCATATTTGACCCAAAGTTGGGTTAAAACAACCCAGCATTTTTTAGAGTGCATGTATAGTATCTCAGGCAAATTACTGACTTTGCACATATCAAAGCAAACCTTCTTATCAACCTGTTGAATCAAAGTTCAGTTCACAAATTTTAAAATGAACTAGTTCAGTTCATATTTCATACTTCAAAAAATGAACTAGTTCATAGTTATTTTTTTCCATATGTTGCTGCGAGCTTCTTTTTTATTATTATGCTATTATTATTGCCACAGCCCATATACAACCACAGATAACAATTATTTTGTCGACGGGCAGAGTTTGCACAGACATGTAAGATTTTCCCATCCTCACCGACCTCATAAAACCCTTTCAAATGATCTTACGACGCCTCCTCGCTCCTCGGTTCACAGACACTAATGAACGAGTTCACTGTATGTAACGTTCATCAGGCAGTAGGCTAATACAGTAGGTTACGTTCAGATCACGTTCGCCCAAAATATGAACAAGTTCATGAACTATCGTTCGCGTTCAGACACAACACATATTACAAGCTCAAAATGATTATTCTCACATTGTTTTAGAGCAGGGATATCCAACTCGTCGCTCGCGAGCCTGATTCGGTGGTAGAAGCTCGCCTTGGGGCTGTTCACATATCGCGCTCACATATTTTGCACGCTCAAGTTTGTTTCAAATGCATGCGCGCATCAAGCGCGCTCATAATTGAAGCGACGCGCTCATTTTTTTCCAGGCGCAGTATATGTTTGTACTTCGTGGTTGTCTATGACAACTATTGCAACAAACCCACCGTAAGCTGTCACGAGACTATCTGGTAGTCCATAAGGGAAAAAAAAAAAAAAAACGCGGCAAACGCAACGGCGGGCCGCAGTCACATTAAACTTTAATGTCAATTGGGGGGCCACAAAATATCACCCCGCGGGCCGCAAATGGCCCGCGGGCCGCGAGTTTGAGACCTCTGCCTTAGATTCATTTTGGCTCCAACACCAAAATGGGGAAAGTTACTTAAGGTAATGCATTGCAATATTGCATTAATCGCAAAAGTAAATCATTTGGTTAGTTACTTTTTATGAAAAGTAATGCACTACATTACTTTTGCGTTACTGGCTGGTTTCCTTTTTTCCTCTACTTTTTTAAATGTATTTGGCAAATGTTAAGACCCATCGCACCAAAAGTGAAATGAAAAAGGTCCATACCGCTCTGAAGGAAGCCTGTGGCTGTCTCTCGGATGGCTGCGGTGAGTTGCCCTGTGACCTTCAGGTACAGTAGGATGTAAATATTGGGAGCAAGCATGATCATATTCTGTTCTCCACAGCCAGATGGCATCTGTAATAACCCGTCTAGATTCTTCAGTGCACGACCCATTATGTCCCCTACAAGAGGTCAAGAATAAAACCCACATCAGAAACAGTTATTCTGCTAAACATTACCTGTCAGTTTCTACACAATGAGATGCTTTACCAAGGACTGAAACTGAGCATCTGTCAGATCCTTGAACCACGTTTGTTGGAAATGTCAGAGTCACGTTTTCATAAAGAACGTTTCCTGCAGACGGAACAGAATGGATAGCTTTGAGGGGAAGGCTGATGTTCGGCTGTACAGGGAGAATGCGTTTGGGAATTGAGTGCAAACAAACCCTTTGGACACAGTAACCAACTCTGGGTGTTTGTGCTTTCAACTCCTTCAGGCTATTAAAGCAACAAAAACACCACATCAGTAAAGCTGCATGAGCTCCATGATCAAACTCCAGAAGGCAAATTAACAATTACCAGGACAAGTAGACTTCGAGTGACTACGTCAATGCGTCCTCTCGTCGGCACAGTCACGACCTCAGTGCCACATAGAGTCCGGGATGGTTCAGCTGAAGCACGGACAGTCACATTGACGGCTCCTGCAGTGACAGACAATAAATGAGCAACACCTCAAACAAAATTTGGTTTATCATATTTGCCCTTCACATGTGGGATTGAATCTGTCCTTTGGATTTAACCCAAGTTAGTGTACACACTAGGAGTAGTGAATAGTGAACAAACTGCAAACCAAAGATACACCCAGAGCAGAGGGCAGCAATTTTGCTGTAGCTCTCGGGGAAGCGATTGGGGGTTAGGTGCCTTGCTCAAGGGCACCTCATTTGTTTCCTGCTGGTATTGAGAATAGAACCCACAACCATTGGGTTACCAGTCTGACTCTCACCATTAGGCCACGACAGAGACAGACTAACCGAGAACAGAAGCTGAGAGAACCCATTTGAAGGTCTTTCTCCCATTGGCACAAAGACAGGATGAATATGGATCAGGATATGGTTTAAGTATGAAGTCCATGGATGAAGCTGGAGTTACTTTAACCTGCCAACAAAAGAGTGCACATGGAGCGAAGACACAGGACCTTCTCTATTCAGATCCATTATATAAATAAAAATAAACCATGACAGACCATGATGCACTTGGATTGATAGTTGAAGACCGTGGCCTTCAGATCAAAAGACTCTCCACGGACGATGGAGTACGGCAGGGAGAGCTCCAGGAAGAAGGGCTGGAAGACCGTCAGCAGAGCAGGAGGAGCCAGACCAAAACCTTTAGAGGACAGGCAGAACGCCTCGGTCTCCCATGTGGTGATTGTGTCAGGAACAGTGAGAGGAAGTTGTGTGGATCCAGTGTCTCTGAAAGACAGTAGAATAGAAAGAAGGAGGAACAGGAGAAGTAAAAACTATAGTTAAGTAGCTAGAAGGAACCAGATGCTTCACTAACCCCACTTGAGCAAGCTGCCAGATCCAGGTTTCTGGAAAGTAAGTCCGGACGGTCACGTCAAAAAAGGAAGCGTCACGTCCAGCACTTTCTACTATTTGATCAGGAGGCAATTCAGGTTCTTGAAAAGCTGCAGATGGATCAAAATAAAAATCACTGAAACAAAAAGACAAGCTAGGATTGCGAAAGCCAAGACTGCCATTAAAAATAAATCCACCCGCCACCAACCTGAACCAATGATTTACCCCGATTTAGATATCCGCACCAGATGGTCACAGTAGGGATGCAGCGATTACCGGATTTCACAATGAACCGCGATTTAAAACGTCACGGTTAATTAATCGTAAAGACTTTGCTACACCGTGTATTCTGCACGGGCAACTAACACAAAACGAAAACAAAGTTACACCAGCGGTGGACCAGCTTAAAATGCTCATCAGTCACTATGGCAGAGGGACTAAGCAGCGGCGCTCTATTTCCACCGGAACCCCCCCCCGTACACAAAGAATAACAAGGGTGTAATAGAAGACGACAGATCGCCTGTCTGCAAAACTTGCCGTAAAAAAGTTTCCGTTTTTATTATTTTCGTTAACAACATTTTTTCACAGACAAAAACGAGACGAGAAACTAATAAAAACTAGACGCAAATGTTAGATAGTGATGATCTGGGGAGCGATCCAGTCAGAACTGATGTCCTGTGTGATGCGCACATTTGTACTGTTGGTCTACCCTGCGGTGCCAAAACATGTTAAAAAAATGTAAACGTCTGGGAGAATGAGTAGCGCAGACATAGTCTACAGATCTGAATAAGAGTGACGATGCAAAAAAAGAGCTGTATTCGGTACGGTTTTCTGTGGGCACAAACCCGACCCGACGCGTGCAGGCATGCTCATAGACACATACAGCGCGCGGGTACTCAACTGAGCTCTCTTTCGTGTCTGAATAGACAAATACACACAACATAACATTATGTCTAAATGTCCGGTTTGGACAGTATTCATGTAACTGTCGGTTGTGTCTTAAGCAGTTGTGAGTGCACCGTGTGCATCAGTGCATTTGGATCCGCATATCATTGGACAAGATCTGACTTCTTAAAGCGACAGTGTAAACCTAATGCGGTCTGTGTCCTTAATATTGATCAAGCAACAAAAGAAAAGAGAAAAGCATTCACTGTTTGTTAATAGCTTTAATAAGGATTAGTTATATTCATACAAATAAATATGTCTGCTTGAAATAATAAAGAATGATGTATGCAAGTAGTTATAAAGAAAGCATATCATTCATTGAAAAGAAGACTGTGTTTTACTTTAAGTAAAGTGGTTTTATTTTGTTATTGTTTTTCATTTTATAATTTGTACCATGTTGTGGCAGCAATAAATAACACAATAAAATCTAGTGTTGAGTGTTCATGTACATTAGTAGTGTTGTGGAATTAACTGATGCATAATAATCGTGATAATCGTTAAACCGCGATTATTTCTCAGACAATAATCATACTTACAAAATCTGTAATCGTTGCATCCCTAGGTCACACTACAATTACTCAGATTTAAGTGCAATGTGGTAACTGCAATAGGCTGCTTTCAAATAAAATATGTTCAAAAGTTCTTTGGCAAAATTACATTTCCTTAATAGCCTAAACAGTGTCACAGTTTCTGTTATTTACCGAACACATGAAGTCAAGTTCAGGCTGAGCAAAGGCTGTATTAGTCATGCATACAGCACTTCACAACTGTTATACATATCACATGCCTTGATTCATTCTGGTTAAGGTAAAACACTGATCTTTTTCGCCTCCATTGCCGCTTCAACATGTTCATTAGCATAGTGAAATGAGTGTGCAAATTAGTGCTTGCTTTTTCCCTTGTTTTACTAAGTCATTTCCAATTTCTAGATCAAGAACCTAACAGACATACCATCACGGAAGTTGCGATAGTAGTTCAGGTTTCTGTACTTCAGGCACTGAGGATCTCGGACAGGCAGATTTGATGCAATCTTCAACCCCACACTCTGTCAGAGCAACAGGTCAAAAAAAGTCACATTCGCAATTAAGCAGGTTCACATCCACGTTAATACACTGGTAACTCAACTAAGGATTTTAAAAGATCATTAATCAGTTTATATCTATCTCTAGGTAATGACTTCAAAACATCAACACCATTACTTTGGCTGCAAGAGACAACACATTATCATATCTTGGATAAAGAAAGAATCAGAGTTTGTGATATATGTTAATGTGTTTACATGCCAGGCGAAATCAGGGTGTCAATTGGTTTATGCTTAACATAGGTGGGGGACTCGAGTCAGTTTAAAAGGACTGCCAAGAATCAAACTGTCCAACTAAAGGACACACCGATCAACATAATGGTGACTACACATTTTCAATAAAACAAAGACCTGTAAACAAATTCAAGCTGGAAGATTGTGGCCAAAACTGGTACTGCAATCACTTTTAAATTACTGTAGAGCTGTGAGCAGTGTATATTTTTTGGTGTATTATATTTATTTTAAATACACATTTTAATGGTGTATTACATATTAAAAAATAAAGTAAACATGACCATGTACATTTTTCAGCTTGAGCATAACCAGGTTAAGAACATGCACATAAGTACACTTAACTGACATGATTACAAACTATTGTCTACCTTGAAGATTCTGTAGGCATTGGCTGGAGGAACATCTCGACGGGGCCGAACGTTCAGACACTCCTGTTCATCCTCAACTTCATATGGATAATGATCTGAGAATGATTGAACCAGGAACAAGTTGAATACCTGAAAACATGTTGCCGGGGGGTTACTTTTGGTACTGTGGCCAAACCAGATTTAACTGAAAGCTAATTTGATATAAAGCTCAATTTAGAACATGACTACGTTAGATTTATGGCTTTTATTTTCTTGGAGTTTTAGAATAAAACGTGTTTGAAAATATATTTTTGCTCAAAAGCATTCAAGATGTACAACAGTTTAAGTTTAGATTTAATTCAAGTTTATGCTGCATTTATTCAATTTAATACCATAAAATATTAATTAAAATAAAAACAAATATACTAGATACATTTCATGGTCAGAAGTGAGTTTTTTGCGGTCACGTGAAGAGCACCAAATTAAAAAAAAAAAAAAAAAAAAAAAAAAACACTGATCAGTGGCCTATGGATACCATTTCAGCACTCAGACGTCTTCCTGGCTCCAAGATCCGGATGCTCTGGTCTACAGCACTGATGCCACACAGAGATCCTGCTTCAGCAGAGACCGTCAAAATATTTTCCTCAGCAGGAACGGCCGTAGCAGGAGAGAACTTTAGAGACACCTGGAACAAGAACAAACACGCTGTAGGACATGCCACCATTCCAAAGCCATACTTGAAGATAAAAGATGCCAGTGCACATCATACCTTGTTTTGGAAACACATTTCCGTCTCAAAGGACGCACTAGCAGCAACTACATTCTCACTGGGCAGAATGCAGAAGACCAGAATCTGCACTGCTGGAGACATATCGACACAGACAAACAGTCTGAATAAAATCGTACCGTTTGTGACCATATCAAAAGCTCTCGCTTTAACCCTTTGAAATCCATGGAAGATGATCACTCCTTTGGACATGACCTGAGAACACAGAAATGTTACATAAAAGATGGCAGACAAACAGACCAGCACAGCAATGAAAACAGCAAAGATGACGAAACCACTGCCCACTCACCATATAGATGATATCAGTGCTGTAGTCACCAGTTTCTCCAACAAAAGAATACGTGACCGTCACTGGAAACTCAGCACCACATTTGAGCGGCTGCTTGAGCTTCACTATAGTCAGTTCACTAAACATTGGACTGTAGGGAGTAGCAGGTTGAAGAACAAGAACAACCCTTGTACCTGTAGTGAAGTATGGTGATTTGTAACCATAAACTACTTCTAGAGTCACACTTGCCTGGGGAACAATGAATGGAATTACTGTACGGTGACAAGCTTTCATTTTAAATCAACGATAACAAAATCAAGTCATACCACTAGAGTAAGAGCAGCTTTAGGAAGACTAGTAGTGTTGAGTGAGAACGTGGCCAGTCCGTCCTGGTTTGTGGTCAGATTCAACAGCAGTTTGCTGGGCCAGCTGGAACCATCCAGGAGATAAACCACTTTGCTCACCAATGGAGTCCCATTGAATTGAATCACAGATATCTGTTGGGAAAGAAAGTTTAGGGAACATAACCAAAGTGAAGGCTTCCATAACGAATTAACTTTTACTTGCCTTTCCGTTAATCTTTGACCCAGGCTCAAAGAAATCTGGGATTTCCACAAACGTGACTTCACCAACTTTAAACGTAATGGACACTGTTGCAGATTTTGAGATTAGCAAGTCTGAAAAACCATAAACATGAGCACACCAAATAAACATCAACTTCCTCCAAAAGTGTGCCATTGGTTCAGATCAGCCAATAGCTCACCAGTTCCCTCCTCAGTGACGTTCACGTTAACAAGAAATGCGTCTTGTAGATTATTCTCAAAGCTTGTGTTGAAAAGCTCTGATGTCTTGACGGTAAGGGAGGCACAGCCGGTGTCATTCATCTGGTAGCAGAACACAGATGGTCATGCTGAAGTCAACCACATGCAGAAGAAAAAACCTGAAATATTGCGGTCAGAGACCTGCTCTGTTTGATTCAGGCACAGACGGGTCACCTCGGGAACCACGACAAATGGAAACGGCTCACGGCATACTTCCACCAATGCTTGACCAGGCACAGGTTGGCCAAATGTGTATCTGGGAAATGTTGTAAGGAAGGAGATCAAGTGGCCAACCACAGGACAAGAAATTCAGACGTCAAGAAAACAAAAGCGTCACACACACTTGCCACAAACTTCGACTTTAAGTCCCTCATCTCCAACGCTGTACATCTGTGGTGTTTTTAAGGTCACATCAAACTTTGGTAAAACTAAACCAAAAAGAAAAGCTTTAAATTAAGGCCTCGGATCTACAGTTGTGCTTTTGCACTCGAACATAATGACTTACCGTATTTTTTCACCTCAAAAACATGGGAGATTGTTCGATCCCCAATAAAAGCCTTTAGCGTGTACTTCCCTATCTGAGCCTCTGGGTTTAACTCGTGAGAAAGCTGCAATATCCAATCCGTTGAGGAAACGTTTGTCCACTGACCAATCCGGTTATTGTTATTGTCCTAATAAAACAGTAGGTCATACAAAATAAATGGCAAACCTAATGTTAAATTCAAAGAACATCCAGAAATAAAGCAGAATCGTACACGACTTTGCACTGGAGCAAGTACTCACCTCCACCACCACAAGACTATACTGCAAGACACAAAGACAGGAATATTAGACAGTACTAGGGCTGTCAAGCTATTCATTCATCTAATTACACAATGTGGTGATTAATTAAAACTAATCGTCTGAGAAATCACCCCAAAAGACTGTTTTTCAAGTCAGTCTTAAATGCGAAAAGCATCAACTAGAGGAGTAGCTTTAGAAAAATAAATAAATGCACATGTACTGTAATGTCATCCCAATCTTAATCCGTAGGGTTTAATGTGGAGTTGGCCCACCCTTTGCAGGCATTATAGCTTCAACTATTCTGAGAAGGATTTCTACAAGGTTTAGGAGTGCAATTATGGGAATTGACCATTCTTCTAAAAGCGCATTTGTGAGGTCAGACACTGATGTTGGACGAGAAGGCCTGGCTGGTAGTCTCGCTCTAATTCATCCCAAACCTGTTCAATCAGGTTGAGGTCAGGACTCTGTGCAGGCCAGTCAAGTTCTCCACACCAAACTCACTCATCCATGTCTTTAAGGATCATGCTTTGTGCGCTGGTGCGCAGTCATGTTGGAACAAGAAGGGACATCCCCAAAGTTGGGAACAACTGTACAAAATGTCTAGGTCTTCTGAAGCATTAGGAGTTCATGTCACTGGACCCAAGGGATCAAGTTCAACCCCTACCCCTGAAAGACAACCCCACACCATAATTCCCCCTCCACCAAATTTGCAGTTAGCACAATGCAGTCAGGCAAGTACCGTTCTCCTGGCAAACGCCAAACCGAATTGCCAGAGAGAAGTGTGATTCGTCACGCCAGAGATCATGTCTTTGTCACCACACTTGGTGATGCTTGGCCATGGAAACCCATTCCACGAAGCTCTTTACACACTGTTACTGAGCTTAATATGATCATATAACACCGATTTTATCATCTCTACACTGCATCAACTACAAAATACTACTACTGACCTCTAAAGCCCTAAATGGTTTAGCTCCTATGTACTTAACGGACCTTCTTTCGCCCTACAATCCACCGCGTTCCTTAAGATCACTAAATTCAAGGCTTCCGGTCATTCCTAGGATATCTAAGTCCACTAAAGGAGGGAGGGCGTTCTCGCATTTAGCTCCAAAACTCTGGAATAGCCTTCCCGATACGGTCCGAGGATGCCCCAACGCCTGTGATGAGAGGACCAGCACCTGTGAAGAGACGACTCAACGCCTGCGATATGTTATGGCGCAGTTTTATACATAAACAATATTTATATTTATATATAAACAATATGAATGTAAGCCAGAGGAGAACTGTCCCCCGACTGAGCCTGGGTTCTCCCAAGGTTTCTTCTCCATCCAATCTGATGGAGTTTTGGTTCCTTGCCACTGTCGCCTCGCTTTTGGCTTGCTCAGTTGGGGTTATTTAATATTTAACAATATTATTGATCTGTGTTGTACTACTTTCATGTTATCACTGTGAAGCTGCTTTGATACAATCTGTATTGTGAAAAGCGGTATATAAATAAATGCGACTTGACTTGACTAACCTGAAGGCCACAGAAGCTTGGAGGTCTGTAGATATCGACTCTGCAAAAAGTTAGCGACTTCTGCGCACTTTGTGCCTCAGCATGCGCGGACCCCGCTCTGGGACTTTATGTGGCCTACCGCTTTGTGGCCAAGTTGCTGTGGTTGCCAATTGCTTCCACTTTGTTATAATACCACTAACAGTTGACCATGGAATATTAAGTAGTGAGGAAATATCCCAAATAGACTTATCCCACTGGTGGGGTGGTGATGGCGCAATGGATAAGATACTTGCCTTTGGTGTGAGAGACCTGGGTTTGAATCCACTGTGAGGCACCAATGTGTCCCTGAGCAAGACACTTAACCCCTAGTTGCTCCAGAGGTGTGCAACCTCTGACATATAGCAGTTGTAAGTCGCTTTGGATAAGTGTCAGCTAAATGAATAGATCACGGTACCACGCTTGAATTAACCAAACTCCTTAGATTGACTCATTCTTTCACAGATGTCTGTGCTTGATTATATACAACTGTGGCCATGCAAGTGATTGAAACAATGATTTGATTCAATGATTTGAAGAGGTGTGCCAATACTTTTGGCAATATAGTGTAGAACATTATCTTTGATATACTTAAGTGTTCAGATGTAAAATCAGCTCACTTTTACACATGCAATTGGGGACAAAAACAGCCCTTGTGTGAAATTGATTAACCATCATATATAGGAGACAATCTCATATGCAGGAACATTTTTGCCCAGAGATCTTAAACTTTAGATGCATTCTTGAAGGTTGAGGTGTTGCCCTGCTTCATGTTCATCACCAATCAACTGTATAAGATAAACAATATAGGTCTGTGGCAGGGGTGTTAATTTTAACGGATTAAATAATGGATTGAATCAACAGCCCTAATAAATAGAAAAGTACCACTAAAAAACAAACAAAAATAAACTCATGCAATTATGATGGACTGAACTTTTCAATATGTCTGCTGCAAGATTTCCCAATGTGTAAAGAGATAAGTCCTTACCATTTGATCAAGAGGCACAAATGTGGCATCCATAGTAACAACTCTAAAATTCACTGCAAAAATAATAAAGTCAATAAATGCTCACATCCATTACACTATTAAGAATTTGAAAATGAGCTAGTAATGCAAAAGACTGTCTCTACTTCTAATAGTTATCCAAGGGACATTCACAGCTCACCTGTTTGTCCTGGATTGTAGATGGGTTTGTCTGTTTGGATGAAGGTCAAAGGCAGGTAACTTCTGAACATGACTTTCCTCTCTTCAACCAGTTTGAAACATCTCCCATGAACTTCCACCTTTATCTTCTGCACGGATACTCCATCTACTCGAGGAGCCTGTCAAGAAACATGTTAATCTGCATCAAACGAGACAAACGGTTCATGTGTAGCATGTTAACAGACCTGGAAACTAAAGCAGCGGTAAATCTCTGCAGAAGCAGATCGCTGCTCCACAAGATGAGTCGTCCTGTTTTTGTCATCGAGCAGAGAAATGGTCATTGTCAAACTATCGTTGGGTTTCAGAAGAATTGCACACAATTTGGCGTCAGAGCCAGACTCGATCACTTCAGGGAACGTCACCAGGAATAACCTGTGGAAACATAGTCGGGAACAGAGGATTTTGAGGTATTGTATTTTAATAAATAATGTTTAATAAGACACAAACAAGTAAGAAATAGCACAAGATTTATTTATTTATAATGTTATAAATAAGCTGGGGTGTTCCAAAACACTGACAAAATTTGCATTTAGGAGATTAAAACTCAGTCCCTCAAAGTAATTTTCTCACACAAACACAAATTTGTTAGCTACACGTATCTTACGTGTTGATAGTAATGGGAACCAAGGCTTTCGCTAAAAGCGCATTAGCGACATCTGGCGGTCACACTTGCTTTCTTCGCTATTTTTAACAAATCACTGCAGAGCAGAAAAAATAAAGTTTCTAAACAGTGTAGGCTGCTTACGGTTCTGTATTTCCATCAACAGCAACAAGAAAAAGACCCAAAAAGAGCCCTGCCCAAACACAGATCTCCTTCACAGCCATGACGCGCGATCATCGAATTCCAGACGTCAAGTGCGAATTGCTTTTAAAACCCCACAGAACTTCTGCACTGATCTACCATTATTTACTGCTCAAATCAATGTCATTCTAGCCTGGCGATAGCTCTTTAAACGTTCAGATCGTTTCTTCATTGATTAATCTCCCAGCTGTAAGTCATTTTATTATCGTATTACTCCACCTACAGCATCTTTAAAACGGAACACATGAAGATGTCGCTGCAATTCACTTTCAATCCGTCCACTTTCTACACTGTTTGGTTTTCGACAAAATTAATCAAGATAACTGTCTCCGGCCATATGGATTCAGATCTTAAATATATATATATATATATATATATATATATATATATATATATATATATAGGCCTAGAATTCGTTCTGTGTTTAGAGTTCAATAACTTCAAATCGATCAAAAAACATCAAATTCTGATTTGTTTCTTCTTTTCAGAAACATGCAGCAGTAACCTTTAAAATTTTAACAGTAGGCCTATTTGAACTTTTTTTATTATTATTATTTTTTGTTTTAGGTACATGGCATGGTGTTCAGTAAAGGAACCTATTCATACATGGCTGATGTACCTGTGTGTCAGTTCACAAATAATGTATTATTAAATAATAAAAACTAACGTCTGAAACATGTTTTGTCTCTTATCTAAAAAAAAATCAGTGTACAGTATGTGTTCACTCTTTTGCCACACAGTGCGCGTGACCGGCTGACGATGACGTCACGCGCACGCGCATTTAATCGATTTTGACACAGCGGGTAAAGGGGAAAAAAACGTATATTTTTCATTATAATTCAACATAAATTATTTTCTGATTTCCTGAAAATGAATCCCCCCCCCCATGTTATTTATTTACATTTGTTATTAATTTATTTTATGTTTATAATTTCTATTGCTTTTGTGTCTTTTATGAATTCATTTACTGCCTTGCTATACCTTGAGTTTATTATCCTATTGTGTGTGTGATACATGTATCCCCTGTGATCTTTAAGTTAAAAAATGTAGAAATAAATAAATAATAAAAAGGTTAAAGAAAGGAACAAAAGAACTTGTCGTGACAGAATCAGTGCAGACCTCAAAGAAAATACAGACATTTAGTGCATACTTGGGAATTAGGCAATAAAACAAAATAATACAATAATAACAACAACAAAGACAGAAGAATGCATTGTGTGCTTTTTATAAGATATAAGAATTGCTGTAAGAATGTCACAAAGCGTCCTCTGCCGCCCTCACAGCGCCTTTACAAACTCACTCTCTCTCTCTCTCTCTCTCTCTCTCTCTCTCTCTCTCTCTCTCTCTCTCTCTCTCTCTCTCTCTCTCTCTCTCTCTCTCTCTCTCTCTCTCTCTCTCTCTCTCTCTGTGTATGCGCACGCGTAGTCGCCTCTTCAGATGCGAACCAATACCCGGATGTTAATCGGCGCGGCGTCTAGTGCGCAGCTGCAGGCCGGACTAACTGAGGTGAGCAAAACAAACCCAAACATGTACAAACATACACAACATATTTCAAGTTAGCATCAACATGCATATGCATACATGTCACATAATCTATTAGACTTATGTTTGAAAGCTATCTTTGCTATTTTGCCACCGTAACCTGAAGTATCTTAGTTGTTATGTTTTCATCGAAATCCACTGAATAATTAAATGTATATAGGAGCCGTATATCAATTTATGTGACACGAAATGATACAGGCAACACTATTATACCCGCTTTACGTGCTCGTAAGCGATTTGTTTGCGGTTGAATGTTTGTGTCCAAATGCGCCATAATTAGCACGTTAGCTTGGTAAGTTTATGCAGGAAGATGAATAAAACATCTTTATAGCAAAAAAACACCTAGCATTCCGAGTGATCATAGTTAATTTCAAGTAGCACATTGGTCCTTAAAGTACATTAAATAAATAATATCATTGTATAATCATCTTTTAGTACCATGACTGATATCAGTGTAACGTTAACGTTACTTTGATATTGCCTGCTAACAAAACTATTTCGCTAACGTTTCAATTAAGTTATAAAAAATACGCTATTTTTAACGTTCTCAGAACTTTTAAAATGTCCCAATTAAATGTTTCCAAGCGTTCTTTCTGTTATACGAACGTTAAGCGAACATTCCCTTTTGTTATTCTGCATGTATTTTTGGAATGTTACTTTTCGAGTGTTCTGTAGACGTTCTGAAACAACTAGGCTAACATTTAAAAGAAATGTTTCAGGAAAAAAATAAACATAAATAATGTTTTGTGCTGACGCTTATTAAAAACCAGATAGCATTGAACACATGTTCTATTAATGTAACTGGAAGAACATTAGCCAAGTTGTGTGACCGTTCCCTGTTATCTGGGTATACAATTAATGTTATGTAAGAAAGTTTGTAATTATCACAAAATCAGAATAGAATAAAATCTTTACTGCTACATCTCTAGGTATAAAACAGGCACGGAAACCACCGTTAAATAAAAGTGCTGCACAATCAACCCGCGTGTGTGTGTGTGTCGGTTCACAGGAACAGGAAGGGAGAAGCAGTTCATGGAAGACAGTCACCATAAGACAGGAGACCGCAGTCAATCGGAGGTGTGTGTAAGACCAACTCTGGAAAACACACTCTAGCTATATATATTAATACACAAACATCTGATGAACACTTTGTTTTTTTTTTACAGGACACTGAAGACGGCTCAAAAGGTTGGTATTGGACACACTCACACACTAAATACAGAATCCATACCGCAAATCATAGTCATATCGTCAGCGACACAGGATTATCACTCATTTCATTATTTATCGCAGGGAATGAGAATCTTACTATCATTTTGCGATGACGAAAGTTTTATAATTTGCAGTTGATGAAAAATGTCATGTCGCATGAAAGGCGAGACTGTGGATATCGCAACCAATTTGCAAACTTTGTTGCACAAGAGTTAAGTCCTTACACACTGAGTCCGAGTTGTTCATATGCGTTTCTTTGTATCGGTCATCTGGTGGCTCTGAACTGTCAAATCACCTCTTGAAATGCTTGCTATGGATGCGTAAAACACAAAAAATCGAACCTGATCCCAAACGAAGGTTTCGGAGGCGGTGTGTAAACGTGATCGTATTTATTTTTTAACGTGCGAAAATTTCGGACTCTCTGTGCAAGGACCTTTACGATGCAAACCCTAGTTAATTATTCCGTATAGATTTATATGTAATGTGTATATATATAAATACTTTATATATAAATAATATTTCTTTCTTAAATATACATGCATGTGTGTGTATTTATATATATAAAATAATTCTACACAGTGCACCCACATATATTATGTAAACACAAACTTTCATTTTGGATGCGATTAATCGGTTGACAGCCCTAATTGCGTCGCTGTAGTCATCTCAAGAATGGTCTGATTAAGGGAACTTTTACATTACAATATATGCATTGATCAAACTCAAATACAGTTTTAGGAAGCGTGTATAGAAACTGAGAGTGATAACTTATTCAAGAACAGGAATGCCAGGACTCTGAGACAAAGGCTCACAAGAGTCCCCAAGAGTTTCATTTAACTTACAATAGAGAGAAAACAGGTTGGGTTGGAAATAACCATTAAGACTTTCAGTAATCTGACCAATACAGAAAAACAGGATGGGCCGGATATAATAACCATCCTAAAAATTCAGTGTCCACAACTTTAATATTGTATTGGAACCTAAATTATACATTTAATAAATTTGTAATACCACAGTGCGGACCTAAAGACTATCATATGCCTCTATAATCTTTGTAGTAATAGCTATCATTATTATGAATAATAATAATTTATATCTTTATTAGTCTCTTTAAATGTTTTCTTTATGTCCTATGGAAACAAACAATGTTAACATCTTAACAACTTAACAACTATCACAATGATGCGTGTCTTTTATAACAAGCACTCTTGACAGTTTGTGAATGGATCGCCTTGCAATTTAGTTTTGATTTGGGATGGGGTTTTGTAGTCGCAGTGTTTCCCATACCATTTCCCCCTAAAATGCTGACGAAAAGGAAATTTACTGTATATTTTCGAGGAATAAATAGAAAGCATTCTTCATTTTATTACCAGCAAAAACACAGAATTAGTGCGGAATTTTTTTTATATATATTTTTTTTTTTCTTAAATTTCATAATATATGAGTTCAATTAATTAAACGTGCTTTTTGATTGCTAAAAAATCCCCCCTCATAAAAAAAAAAATCCTAGGGGAAACACTGAGTTGGTTTTAAAAACATTTTCATTGAGTCCTCTTCAATCCTCTGACAGTGTTGATGTCAATGTAGTGATGTCGTTATTAAAATTAAGGAAGACAAATGAAGTGTAGGTCCTAATATTTATTTTGATAATAATAATACCCTGACAATAAGTTAATGGGAAATGATAATAAGCTTAATAATAAGTAATAATACGTTTAAATGGGAAATACACATCTTGTATTCACAAATCTGAAGCAGTCACATACATGAGCATTCAAAAGTTTGAGGTCAGTAAGATTAATGTTTTTAAAATAAGCCTTGTCTGCTCACCAAGACTGCAGTTATTTGAAAAAAAAACAAAAAAAAAACAGTAATATTGTGAAATATTATGTAAATTTAAAACAGCTTAGTCTTTCAGTTCCTCAAAATAGCAACACACCAACAATGTGTCTGAACACACACCTCGTTTTCAGACCAGCAGCCAATGGGTGAACAGATGGGCGCGAATGCATTTGCTATTTAAACAACGTGGCGCAGGACGAGAAAATGATAACCGCGTTGGGCTGAAACCAGCAAAATACACTTGTCGCACCTGCCGTTATGGTTTACCCATTGCGTAGAGTGTATGATAGACCTCTAAGGATTATCTTTAGAAGTGGAATACAATTAGAGTTTTGCTAATATTTAGGAAAGAAATTCGAACTAATATTTTCATTTATTTTGACAGCCCTTCTATGCTGTTCTTCTTCTTAACCGCTCTTCTCATGTCAGAAACAGGCTCCTCTCCATCTTCGGCATCTCTCAGCACTCTCACCTGTGCTTCATCGCGACCCGGTCCCGCCGAAACACCCTCCCCCTGTCCTGTTGTCGGGGGTTGGTCGGGCCCCCTTGAGGGAGG